AGCTCTTCTGAGTCGTATCCATTCTGTTGGTAGGTGGCAAATCAGAATCTGTACATCCTTCTTTGCTTGGCTAGAAGAGAAGCACTTCCTGCTGGCGAGGCAAATCCGGGCCAAAGCTGCAGACAGCTTATGGGGTAGGGTGCCTGCAAAGTTGATTGGCCTGAATTGAAAGGGTTCTGTTGGTTGTCGAAACGAGAGTCGAGAGCGTGCGTTTTGTGGCACACAAGGTTGTACCCAAAAAATCGCCATCTGTGACATCTTCCAGCTCCACTGGATGACGATAAAAGAAAGCGGACAGAAACTGTTGAAAGTGCGGTGTCGATGCGACGCTGTCACAGCAGAGAGAACCAACCTGTTGTCTACATGACGAGTTATGTAGATGTCCTTGGCCAGTCTTAAAAGTTTGTGCCTGTGTTCATCATACCAGCTTTGCTCAAGGTATGACACAGCCACATTTGCCAAGGAAGGAGAAATCTGGTTGCCGATTGTAACCCCGTTGCTGTTTAAAGATCCTCTTCATCTGAAAAAACTTGGACGTCGATGGCGACAGCTTACAAATGTCTGTCAGGTCTGAAAGCTGAATTATTCCTGTTCTGGCCTTGTGGCGTTTGTAACTGCCTTGAAACTCTGAGCCTTGGTTCAGGAGCCTGCAACTGCACAGTGAACTTGACTTCCTCAATGGACAGACTTTGCTTCTGCGAAAATTTGGAGATTAAATCTTCCACCGCCTCAACAATCTGTTCAACCGGGAGATTCGTAAAAAATCCCACCAGGTCCTGATTGTATTGCTTGAGCTCAATGTCTTCACTTGCGTTCTGAAGGAACTTGTGAAGGGTGTTGAAAATTTCTGGCAGGGTTTGAAACCCAAAGCTGTTGGGATATACCGCCGGGATCATCAAATTGATGACTGTGCTTGCGGCCCGGAAAAGACGTGCAAAAACAAAGGACTGATAGAAGATTATTGGCCTTGCTACCAGGAAGCTCTTTTTGCGCTTCAGTAGCAGATATGATACTGGGAGTTCTGCATTCGGATTTACTCCCCATGCGTATTTCCTCGGCCAGCCTGTGCTGGACTGATGCTGCAAAAAAACTCTGGCCTGTGCCGGTGTCAGAGCTGATGGAGCATACACGCTCACATCTCCAAATGTGGAGCGTAAGATGCGCCAAAAAAAAGCGAGAATAAAACAAGTGAAGATGGTCAGGAGCGTGATCCCGACCTTGGACGACAAAATTGTCCTTGGTGAGCTCTCGGATGTACTTTACGTCCGCAACGGAAAGTGGCAACTTAGGTTCTGGGGTGTGCAATTTCCATTGCTCATGCAAAAAGAGGACCATTCTGCTTGATTGATTCCAGATACGAAATGTCTGGACGCCCATTTCTCAAGCTGGTCCCAGGATTGATCCACGTATTGTCGAAACGAGGGGTAAACCTGCGTCTTCGCGTTGGCTCCCATCCAAGACTTTAATCACCTGGAAAGGTGTAGCTTGTCAAGTGGAGAGGCGACATGCAGTTGTCCATCATCGGGGTGAAGGACTGTGTCAAGGTCCGGATGTTGCTCCAGAAAATTTTTGCAGTTGCAGGGTTGCTCTGTATTCCATTCAAACTCAGCCATCTTTCGGTGGTGATTGACCAGCAGCTTGCCCAAAGACAAATTTGCAGCTGCAACCACGTTGAATGGCGGCAAAAGGAAGGGAACTAGAAAATCACGACGATGAAGGACCTTACTTTTAAGCCATTTCTTCACTGCGCTCCGAAAACTGGAGTGAAACAACATGGGCAGTTGCATTGGTCTTGCGCGTGGAGGTTTTACGCCACCTTTAAAATCAAGATCTTGGTCAACGTGCTTTGGACGTTGCTTCTGGGTGGCTCATCCAGATTGTTGACAAGTCTGTACAGTGCATAGACATGTTGCAGCGGATACGCGCTGGATCTGCATGAGTTCTCTCTGCGTATTAAAAGATGCCAAGGAACGCTCAGCAAGAATGGTGAGAATCATCAAGGAGGATTCAGGTTTTTGCTTCGACGAACTGTAAAGGTAAAGGGCTCCCAACTTATGGAGTCCTTTTCCTGATATAAAAGTTTGCGAAAACCGTTTCGGCGAGGCCTATTGGTGGAAAAATGAAAAACGTCAAACCCCTAAAGCCTTAAGCCTTAAGCCTTTAAATTACTTCAACCCCGAAATCCCCTCAAACCCTAAACCCTAAATCCCTTAAACCCTTAAATCCCCTAAAACCCCTGAACCCTAAATCTCTTAAACCCCTCAACCCTTAAATCCCAGCATGATGCATAGTGTTTCGGAGAAATCCACAAGATTCTCGAAAGAGCAGAGCTCGAGGCATTTGCCTGACCATCAGCATGCAGTGCAGAGAGTGTGGTACGTTTATACGCTTTTCAAAGGCCAGCAGACTTAGGGTTCACTGAATTTCAATTGTCTTGGATGTGTTCGTGACAGACGGTTCATTTTTAATACGAGCCCAGAAAAATTGGACGTATGGGTCCAGCTTTAGACTGCAGGTGCGGTATGCAGCATCCCGCATGTGCCGTTTCAGATCAGTTGGGTAGTCTTTGTTGTGCTTTGAAGCCATGCGCCAGCTTGGTCCTGAACGAGGCTCCTTTTAGAATCTGTTGTTTTGGCGAGCAAGGCTGGTTGCTTGCCATTGCAGTTGTTTTTGCCATTTTTTTGTTTGATGACCATTGCTGAGAATTAAATCTTGCTGCATGCTAGTCACCGCGAGTTCTGAGAAGGCTGGCAAAATGATCCAGACGACGCAGTCGTTCGAAGCGCGTGGCCCAGAAAACCGCGTGGTTGACGTCGTCAGACCCTCAGTGGTGCAGCAAGGAAGTGCTGATGATGTATTGGATGCGTCAACCTGCACTCGATTGTAATATTATTGTTGAAGCAACAGCTGCTATGTTTTTCCAGGCTTGTTGATGTTTCTTTGCAGCAGAGTTGTTAACAATTGTTCTGATGAGCGTGATTTGCAGGTGTTGCGGGATGCTTTGGAGAAGCTTCGGAACACAGCCCCAAGAAAGCTCAAGGATGTGCAGTTGTTGCAAGCTCACATCTATGTTCCTGCGGTGATTCATGCTTGTGTGTTTGGAATGCAGGAGTTGCGGGATGCTGTTGACGCCGATTTGAAGGTGTTGGATCCTTGGTACGTTGGTGTGATGACATTCCCAGCCCCTTTAAAGGATGCAGAAATGGAGCACCCAAGAATACTCGCTCTTGTTGGGCGGCTCGATTTTTGTTGAATCCTTTCGGGGGTGCGGGATACCGCAGTTAGCTCGCGGAGACTAGTGCTGCTGAGGTTAGAGAATTTGCCTGCGTCCAGTGCGGGCGTTTCGGCAAATGATTTCTTCCCATCGTTCAAGCTTGCTTGCGAAGCTGCAGGCGACACAGTTGTAACACATCATATTTGGTATGTTTTACATGCGGGAGGATGATGTGCCAGCGGGGAGGTGGGGGTGCTGCACGGGTCGAGGAGCTTGGGTCAGTTTCTTCAGATTTCAATCAGCCATAATTTAGCCCATAGGGCTGTGGCACTACGCCCTTCCATGCCCCAGTTCTTGCATGTTGGTGCAAGCGTTAGAATGTTCGCTTGCTTTCTTCCTTTGTTACCCGTTATCAGGCTGTGAGTGTTCCGCTTGAATAAACAGGGGGGGCTGTGATTGTTACGCTGGAATAAACAGGGGGATCCCCTTGTAAAATTTTGCTCCGTATGATACGGGCCCCAAAATCGGACCGCAAATTGGGGCATTATAATACTGGTATGCGCCCGGCGTTTTTCATGCAGCCTGTCAGGCTTGCCAAAATTGGTAGTCATTGCCTTGGAGGTGCACCTTTCTGCAGCTGCGTTGTGTCACGTAGGATGCAGCCTAGGTGGGTTCAATGACTCACTAGACTGTGGAGCAAAGTCAAGTTGTGTAGTTTAAAGTGTGAGCCAATGATTTTCATGCTTTGTGATGCGATTTGTCAGGCAATACGCAAATTGCACCTCCGCAAAGTCCAGTTCAGCAAATGATTTCGAAGCTCAATGCAACTGTGCCTCACACGCGAGCTCATGTCCTGCCTTCAAAAAATTGGTCCTTTGCAACGTTTTCGCCAAGCAAAACGTGCCGTGGCTGTGCAGGCTATACAGAAGCAAATCACCTATGGCTTTCTTACTGGCAAAGGCCGCATGTCAGCTGATTCCTGCTGTTGCGATGCTTATTCTCAAAGCAAAGGATATCTGGAGGGACCAAGGGGTATACGCGCAGAGGTTTCGTGTTGTGGATCACACAGGAAGAGTCGTGAGGAACTCATGCTATGCTTTCTGTTCTAGCAGTTCTATGACACCACTACTCATGAGCCTTGATCACATGCTCCTGGCCCTACCAATGATAACTACATGATGGTAACATAATCGATGAGAACATTTTGCAAACCTGACATTGGAGTCCCCTTTCTATCCCTTCCAGAATCCTCCCCCTAACATAGAAGGGCCCTTCCAAAAGCGGACTCCAAGTTTTGGAGCTTCTCCCCAGATCAAGCGCGTTGGCAGGCCCAGACCCCTTCAAGCCAGACTCGGGGCGACATCTCATTGTCGCAAGCTTAGCCGTGTTGCCCTCGTAGAAATGTTAGTTTCATGTGCTCGTTTTGAAAACTGATGTTGAATCGTGCATTTGGCAGCAACACAATGAAGCAGGCCACTATCCCCACATTCTTCAGCTTGTTCTCTTTCAGCTGAATTAGTGCTAGTCCTGTAGTTGTCATTCTTGGATACTTAAGGCCATCATTGTTGGATACTTTGGCCTTCAGTTGAGCTATAATCTAAATTCCTAGTATCCCGCTCAATAAGCCCTATAACGGTCCCCCATACTAATCCCCTATAGAACCAGCCTTTCAGGAGTTCAGACCCTAAACCCTAAACCCCAAGCCCTAAACCCTAAGCCCTAAGCTCTAAGTAACACATACAGAAGGCTATATCGCCCCCCCTAGTCAGTTCAGTTGGCTTCTGAGGATGCTGTTGTCGACTCTGTCTGCAATTGCGCAGAGTCTGCTGATGACACAGTGCGGGGCTCTGGAGTTTGGATTTAGGGTTCAAGGTTTAGGGTTTAATCTTNNGGGTTTAGGGTTTAGGGTCCTTTGTTTTCGATCCGCAGCTGTCTGATGAGGTCACATTTCAAGGTGCCTTTTTTTGGTGGGTTTGTCTTACACTTGTCCTTAAACCTTTGTAGACTCTACCTCCCAGGTAGAGTCTGCCTGTTGCTTCAGCCCTCAGATCAAACAAGCCCATTCTGTCCAAAACACTTAACCCTTAACTCTAACCCATTCTGGCCGCTAAACAAAAGATACGTTCTAAAGTAATCCTATCGTTCTGTATCACTGTCGCGCAGGTTATCAGCTTGTGGCTGAACCCTGCTGGCAGACAGAACCCTAAAACCCTAAACCC